CTTTCCCTTTCTTCATAAGGTTGAGATCTTACCTTTCTCTGCCCCATTTGGGAAGATTATTTATTAGTGACAGTATGTCAGAAAAGTAACATGCCAGATAAGTATATAAACAATGTATAAATTAGAATTTTATTAGCTGTTTTCCAAGCAAACAACTGATGTTTTTATATAGTAATAGAAATTAATTTATACATGTTCAGAAGAGTTGCACAAAATTGTTTCTATTGGGAAGTAAGCATGGAGGTTTCTAAAAATGTGTGGTCACTTTTTAAATTATTATTATTGCTGTGCTTCCTCTTAAATGTACGTGTACATAATGCTTGGTGTTCAGTTTATTTCCATTTCTTTTTGTCTTTTCAGCAAAAATAGTGATTTTTGAAATGCCATGGATAATGAATGGTGAGTTGTTTGATTTGGTTGAGATTTTTAGACTGTGGTAATTTAAATTAGGAGCATAAATAGGAAGCATTTTTCTGCTCTGTGTAGATACAGAGGGGTGGAATTTGTTAAACGTGCATCTTCCATCTGTCAATTTATAAGTTGCATACTGTGTCTGCTATACTTTGCATACATTGTTTTTCCTTCTAGCATTGTATTTTGGATGTCCATGAAATATTTCCTCTGTAAATAACTTTTTTTTTTGCACTGCTTATCCCTATTATTAATAGATATTTTCAGAGCAGGGCCTGTGATGACTTATGGGATGTAGCTCACTTGTATTCTAGAAGGTCTAGCAGTACACTGGAGAAAAAAACCCTTCCTGACAATTCGTGTACCTTTGTTTTGTTTTAAAGCTGCTTTTAAAATTGTGAAGGGTTGGCTTGGCCCAGATGCAATCAGCATGTTGAAGTTCACGAACAAGAGTGATGTACAGGAGTACATCGGTGGAGAGTATCTGCCACCTCACATGGGTGGAACTGTAAGTATATTAACATTTGTGATAGATGGAGAAATGTATATAAATTACATATATGGGGTTGAGAGTGGGCACTTCGGGAACATGTAATTTCTTGAAATTGTTCTGTGAATAGTTTGCAAATCACATTAATATAAAATAGGTTAACTTTATGAGAATTTGATATCTGGCATTCTTGAAGTACCAAAATAGTTTTTCTGAATCATTCATTCACTTTCAAGTCATTGGAAAACATTTAATTTTTCAGGTCTTTAAAAAAAAAAAAAATCATTTTAAGTATCATTCTTCCTTCTTTTTTTTTCTCACATCTGGCAAATTAGGGATTATGTGTTGGCTCATGAAACAAGTTCTGTGAACGGAAAATAGGTTTCACGGCCCTCAGAGTTCTCATCCTGCTCCATAGCTATGATTAGGGAAAGGCCATCATATTGCAATTACTTTTCCTTTATTGTCTCTAGGGCTCTATCTTAAGACATGGCTGTAGAAGATACTTTTTTAAGATTATATGAGAGTTCCAAAAAGTGGCAACCCAATATCACTTCAACAGAACCTGGTTCCTATTCTAGTGCAATCTAAATAGTAAAACAGCACAAACATTTGTACGGCTTTCACATTTCACAAAACTAATAAACCAGTTTGCATAATCTTTATAGTAGAATTCACAGAAAAGTTTTTTTTCTTTAAAGTTTTTGTAAACCATTCAGGGTAGCGGAGTAAGCCTATTGTAGAGGAGTTATTTCTTAACTTGTTCTTTTCCCCGTGGTTTGATTTGTTTTTTATATAAACTAAAAGTAGAGTTCTGGTAGCCAAGACATGAAACTTGTTTTGGGGATATAAAAGACTTAAGTTGTCTTGGTTTTTGTTTGACTGCTGTTAAAGTAGACTTCAAAAAATGCTTTCGCATGAGACTTGAAGAAAAGATACCCTTTTCCTCTCTGAAAAATTGCTGCCCAAACTTCCTAATCTCATAAAAGAACTTTCTCATGTTAAAGAAAGCTGACATTGTGGAACTTGAGGAGAGGTTGTTGAAGGGCTAATGATGCCTGAATTGACTTCAGTAAGGATTCGAATGGGGTACAGGAGTGGTTCTGGGCGTGGCTTCCATGGTGGTGTCCTATAGTTGGAATAGAGGGGAGGTTCTTTTCTTCTTTCTTAGACCTAAGTGTCTCCTGTCTGCTTTTTAGACCATCACACTTGATAGCTACTTACGTCTTTAAAGAACTTTTGGGTCTGCTAAACATTCTCTTGCAGTGTCTTGGCTGAGCACATGAAGTCATCCTTTTTCCTGTCTTGGTACTGGAAGGTCTCATTGCCATTTAGAGGTTGTTGAACAAGGTGGCTCCATGTTGCCCATCTCCTAAGAGAATTAACAAGTTCCGTAATCATGGAGACAGCTTATACAAGCCACTTGTATGTGGTAGTAAGTTGCAGTGACAAATAAATTAGTAGGATAGGAATAAAATTGATTAACAAAGATTCCAAAGATCTTGTCACTTTCAGAAAAACGGCTATATCTCTAGGAGTTAAAAGGCCTGTATTTTGAGTCAACACATGTTTTGTCTAATTGAGTTTTTTTGGTATTTAGCCACTTGATGACTGTTTCGAACTTTTAACCTCAGAGTTATCATCATCTGGAAGCACTGTGAGCAAATACTCAACTCCAGAATTGTGCTCTGCATCTTCCTTCCAAAGAGTTCTTTAGTGCATAGAGTGAAGCAGGATTTTTCATTTCTCTGACAGCAAGGAGTTTTTCAGTGACTGGAAGACAGAAAACTTGCTGGCCTTTTCTCAAATTTAACTTTTCCTGAGGTGGTTAACCTCACCTCCTCTTGAGGCAAGTAGATAGGGTACATTCACTAGTTATTAGTGTTGTCAGGCCTGTTTGGTTTTAAGACAGTATCTGGCTTGAACAAATTATTTCCTTCTATTCTCCCTTCAAGTGTTTGGCTTATTGTTTGCCTCCTTCCAATTCTTTCTGTCGCCTTTGGTTTCCACTCATTGAGGAACAAGTTACCATATTTGCAACTACCCTAATGCAAGTGAAAAGCACAGCATATCTGTGCATCTCTTGTTCTCAGTACAGTAGCCATCAGCAGACTCATCTGTTTTGCTATGGCCCCTACTAGAATCCATCCTGGCAGAATCAGACATAAACAACTAGTGGAGCAAGTCATTTGGCTAGTAACATTGGGAAGGTAATGTTAGTGCAATGGGTATCCAAAAAGAATCTTACAGTAGTTTTGGAATTAACAGAAAAGACCGTTTTGGAAGTAGAATTAATAATGTTGAACTTGGAGTCAATGATTACTTTGCTTCTGTCAGAAGCCTTCAATCTTCAGGATCTCAGTCAAGTTATGTTTAAGTGTGTTTTGTCTTTACTCTGGCTCAGGGTCATGTAAATGATAAATCTGAGGCTTTTCTTAGCATGAAAAGCCTTCAACTGTCAGCCAGCTGAGGAGGAGGAAAATTACTTAATTTTAGACCATTAGTGGACAAAGGTCACTCCATAATATCAAAAGCATTAAAATTAATTATGAGAAACAGAAATTTGGATTGTGATGAACTCTGGAATGCAAATATAATTTAAGTTCCATTTCAGACCTCATCACTGACTGTTGGCTGTGGCTATTGCCACGTTGCTAATCAAGATGGGCTATACACAATGTACTTAACTTCGAGTTGTTCTTGTCTGCAATGCACAGAAGTCCCTCTTTTATAGCAGGTTTGTATTGGAGAACTTGTCAGAATTGCCCAAAAGAGATTTAGGATCAAGCTAATGATAAGCAGTCTGAAAAATTAGGGTGAGGTGCACAAACACCACTTGCTAATTGTTTTCATTTAATAATAAATGTATATTAAGTCATTGTTTTCGTGTGATTCCCAGTCTTGTATTCCACATTCCATCATTTTTAGCTCTTGATGGCAAAACAGTCCAGCTCTTAAGGCGTACGTGTTTATGACTGGCCAGGAGATCCGTTGCTGCTTCAGTAACATTTTGTGCAAGATTCATGTCCATACAATGCATACATTGGTGTAAGACATGAACATACAGTAGGATTTTAGTTTGCAGTTGCCCCGTTTTTGTTTGTCAGATGGATTTAACAGGGTTGAATTGCTCAAGATTCCCTCCACTGATGCCAGTATTAAGCCATGTATGCAACTAGAATGCTGTACTCTTCACCTGGGTATCTGAATTGGTAACCCATAGCTTGTTTTCTTGGAATTACTTCTTTATAGGTCAGTGTCCTGATGTTAAGACATCACTGGGCATTTTGCATGGGATTTCGTAGTCATGTTATTCTAGGACATATCAGTACCTTGATTTAAGATGTCACTGCCACAATTGCCAAAATACCTACATCTGTTATAAAAGAAAGTCTCTGGAATGGATATATCTGAGGTTGTCACTTTGTTAGTAGATAAACCCATGTCTCTGAAACTTAGGGACAGTTACTGGGAAGTGTGGGACTTTGAGTTGTCCCAGTGATGAGATTCTGTTCAGCTGCTGGAGCCATCCAGCATCATGGATTAGTGTGGCCAAGTGAAAAGTGCAGCAAAATTAACATTTCTGTATTAAGGTCACTGTCATACGCCCTTCATCACATGCTGGATTGGCTAAGGGTAACCTGGTTATTTCTGCCTTGTGTTTGGAAAGGGAATATGTCAATATTCTGCAAGCCTACTGTAATATTTCTAACAGTCTGGGGTCTTTTCTTCTTATTCTTCTTATTAATACTTAAAGCTTGTCCTTTAGGCCCTTTGTAGGATATTGCTTGAGACAATGGATACCTGTTTCATTCACCTAAGGGTCTGTAACTGTTGCTTCAGCCTGAATGAGAGATGTAGAGTTTGATTATAGATTAGTAGAAAGTACATTATTTTGTTTGGGATTCCTTTGAATGGCCCCATCTACGGTTTTTCCTTTTTTTTTTTTTTCACGTCATTCTTTGTTTTGAGAAAACATACTTGCTTATGGAGAGCTCTGTTGAAATGCCTTTTAGTTCAGTAACTTTGGGCATATCTGGAGTCTGCCTGACAGGAGTCAAAGCCGTTACTTTCCTCCTTCAATGGAAAAGCTGACAAGACTAATTCAGTTTATTTGAGGTTTAAAACTGTTTGAAAATGGTGTAGGAAGAGAGAATTCTGTTTGAAAACTGTAGCATTAGAATTTCTAACTATTTTGAGAATGTCTAGAAATTTCTAGTTAGCAAAACCTGTTTTTTACTGGTCTTCCAATAGAAAAGATACCTTTAGTGTAGAAATGCTGAAAGCTTCAGTATGCTGCTTCTACTTAGGTGTCCTGAATATGGTCTTTAAAGTGACTTGGCATTCCCAATGCTGAGCTCTGAGTTGCAGGACATGTTCAAGGCCCACAGGCTGGGTTAAATTTGGGGGTTGGTTTTCAGTTGTTTTGTGGGCTTTTTTTTGTTTCATTTTTTTAAACTGTGGCTGTTATGAAATTAAATTTAAAATAAAACTGAAGTTTTTCATAATTTCTGCAATGTTCTTCAGAAATAGTTGCCATAGATTTTAAACCACATTTCCTATAGCTAGGAACAAAACTTCAACATTAAGACTCTGAATGCTGATCCTTGATAAACCAGATTCTGCAGTTCTACTGTAACTATAAATAACAATAGTAGTTACAATAGTAGTTACAATTTAGTAGGTTCAATGGGTGACTGTACTTATTTGTCTGTTAATTATGATAAAATACTACTGGCAGTATCAGCTTTCTGCACAGGAGTCAAACTAAAAATGGACACATGAAACATACTAGTCATGGGGGGAAAAAAAAAAATAGTCTTTTCATTAAAAGAATAAGGCACGTCTCATCCTCCTAAATAACTGGTCCTTTAAAAAAAATCTCCTTATGTTTTAGGATTCTTTCAAATACAGTTATCCCCCATTGGTTGATGATGACTTTCAAACACCTTTATGTGAAAATGGGCCCATTACTAGTGAAGATGAGCATGAAAGTAAAGAAGAGATAGATACAGACACCAAGGATGCTGGAGAGCTGAATGAAGAACAAAACCTTAATCAGAAAAAGGTATCTAACTCTGAAGGTTGAGACAAGAACTAATTAAATGGTTACAAAGTGGGACAGGAAGCATAATTTTTGTTTCTTGTCTAACTTTCTGTGGCTGTTTCTTTAACATTTTATTGTTCTCTGCCCTCCAGTTTGACAAAAGAACTCAGTAAAACTGAAAATGATATCTGCAGTTTTAACCTTTCTTCTTAGTCTGTTAAGACTAGTTTCATGCTTCTGAATGAGTAAAATGTGTACCAAATATTTAGTGTGTCTCTGGATTATAGTGAACTGTACAGTAAAATCTAAATGGGTTTTGTGTTTTGGTTTCAAAGTTTATGACTTTCTAGTTGGTTTATTTTTAGTCTTGTGATATCTAGTGGTAAACATCTTAAACGTCTGGTTTCCTCAGATACTTAAGTAGTATGTACTTGAGAAAATATTAACAGTTAAATATTTATATTTTACTGAGTGTTAGCTTTTCTTAAATTATTGATAACATCTCAACATATAAGAGTTTTTATTTACTCTCAGGGGAAATTGTACCTATAATCCATCAGTCCTGTTTCACAATGTAATCTTCCTGTAGAGGTGCTGTTCCAGAAATACAAAGGCATTGTTTTGCAGAAGTCCATATGAAATGATATTTGGGAATATGCAATGATAGTCAGTGGGGATATTGCTCCTGAAAATAAGAGGAAAACTCTGAAATTCACCACTTTGGTGCCATAATTTTGGAATATGAATTGCAAGACCTCTGTTTAATAGAGTGCTTTAATATTATGTTCAGTTTCATTTACCACTAAGCTTTTTGTTAGAGTAGTTTGAAACAAACAGCTGACTTGAAGTAGTCCAGATGTTCTTTGCAACTTGGCTAGCTATTCAAAAGAGGTAATACTGCTGACCTTAAGGTCAAAAGGAAGCATTATATAACTATGGTGACTTCCTGACCATTAGACTCAGTAGCTGTTTTAGTTGTAGCACATCTTCCCAGACTCTGATTCTCAGATACAGAGAAGTGGAATTTTCTGTTTGGTGTGTGTGTTTGCTTTCGTGCTTAATAGCCTCAAAGTTTGTCGTTAATTTCCTTGGTTGACTTCAGTTTCTACTTAAGATATCTTTATTTACTTTTTAAAGACACTCTTAAAAATAATGATTTGGTTTATGATTTTTTTTCTGTTATACAGTGTAATCAAGCTGCTACTCAACTTTTTCAGTGAACTAAGATTGCTATTTATGCTCAACATGTATCAATTAACCATAAGGCATGTTTAAGGCCTTACCTTTAACATACCTTTAAAAGGCCACATCTCATTGCTATTGGTATTGTTTTGTAAAAAGTAGATTGTTTTGCTTCAACTCAACAATTCTTCTGTTTGCACATTTAAGAACAATACTTGCTATTTCTTCCACAGCATGTACACCATAGTTTGCCCTTTCCATGTTACATTCTCTTCCAAAATGTATTTTTCAGAAATGTTCCCTTATTGTCTTAGAATGGTTGGCATTTCTTATTTCAAAATTAATTTTTTTGACTGTTTCTAAATATAAACATTTTAAGTATTTTTTAATAAGGCCAGCTTCCAAACTAGCAGATTTCAAGTGATCTGTGAGATAACTGTCCTCATTATTTACTGCACTACCAGTCTTTATATGCTGACTCTTGTCACCACTAAGAATTTATCTGATTTATATATGTATGCCGCCTCCTTATCTCATATAGAAGGGCCTGTTTCCTTCCACAGAGTAGAGGAAGCCTTGAGTGATATAGGTTTGTAAGTGCCTGTCCTGTAAATGCCTCCACCATCACTGTGTGCTATCGTAACATGAAAATATTACTGGTAATTCTGGTTAGATTTATGTAGAATAAAGCCCAACACTAGAGCAGTGTATTTACATGCTAACCTCCTACTATAACTGTCATTATTAAATGAAATTGCTCTGTGGTTTCTTTTTATAAAACTTATTTTCTGTTAAATGTATTCCTTTCATTCCCATATTTCAAATTTACATAAACTGAATTCTCTTCATGTCTTCTCTGTGTATTTTAATTAGAATAAAAACAAGACTAAGCAAGCTATTGCTAGCTGATCTTGAGTTGTGATGTCACTATTTCTTCCAGTCTTCAGTATTTCCCCTTGCCCTGTTTTGTTATTTCCCCTCACACTTAATTCCAGAGTTCATTCTTTTGTTTTTTTTTTAATCATAAAATGTGCAGGCCTGCTGACACGTATTTTCTTCATGTAATAAAAGAGAATCCTCGGAGCCTAACTCTCCTGCAGTTTTGGATGCACCAGTTCAATCCACATTATTTCTTTTATTAGTTCTCCAAGACTTCAGAGTTCCATCTATAAGCAGTGAAGATATGTTTAGCAGCTCAGCAATGCAATAAAGTGTGGAATTGTTGTTGTGTTTCCTTTTCAGTGTTGCAGTGATTTGGGGTGCCTTTTTTAACTGAAAAGTTTTGCTGTGGAAGAATAACATCAGTGCTCTAATCTTAGATAGCTGAAGTACTGTAGCTTAATGTGTCTGCAGTTTTCAAAAATAACCAACTTGGGTATCAGAAAAGTACATGGTGGGGGAGGAAACAAAGCAGAAGTTTTGTTTCATGCATGTTTAATATATGATGTGACTTCTATAACAAAATGTCTTATTTAGTGGACTTAAGCAGCTTCATGGAATTAATACATACTTAGCTTGGTCTGTAATGTACAAATTGTTGAAATAAGCCTCCTCATAATTTTGGAAATACCTGCATGATTCTGTTACATTGTTTAACCCTGATTTCTAGTTAATCATTACAACTATCATTTTTACTCAGATGAATTCTATAGAACAAATTTCCAAATCAGAGGAAACTGACAAAACAGAGATCAAACCAAAAAATGCAAAGAAAGCATTAACCACTTTTAAAGGACCTTTATTACATATCAGGTAATAAAAATTTAATTTCTTTACAATGTGCCTTGGACACTTGAGTGCTGAACTAGTTGATTTTTAAAATAAACTATTTTTTTTCAGACTGTTAGGCAAAAACAAGTTATAAACATCCTTTTAAGAATCCAAAGTTGAGAAACTTTGGATTTAGTTAAACCTGTGCTTATCTGTAATGAGAACAATGATTTGACATTGATTGCATTGGCTTAAGGAAAATCAATGCATTTACTCAGGCAGCTTTCACTGTTAAACCTTGCTTAAATTAACTTTAGATGGTGTAAATGTCTACAATAGTAGTTTGCACCCATTAAACTTAATGAATGAATCTAACTTACTTTGTGTGGGAAGTGCTCTGTATAAATGGCATATCTGCTCAGAAGATGATTACATCTTGCAGTTAATCTTTTTATCATTAAACTAAGGGGGGTAAAAAATCAGTTACCCAGTATCACATTTTCTTTCACTGCCTTTCAGATTAAGATGCTTGTTTAGAAACAGATTTAGATGTTAACTTTTATTTTCACTTCCAGTTTGCTATTAGATGAATGAAGAAAATATCTAATTTATAGGTAATTCCTTAGCTAATTTTGTAAGTGCTGTACTGAATTAGTTTTGTAATGAATTTGAATAAAGACATGCTCATTAGCGTAAAAAAATTATTTTGTACATGTCAAATTTTCCTGGTTTTGAAATGAAAATTAATCTTTGTGCAAAAAACCTCCTCTATATAGACTTAGCTTTTTGTATGGCAGGACAAAGGCATAGGCTCTGAAACTGTGATTTTTTTTTAAAAGAATGTTTAGAATTTTCTGTCTGTAGGAAAAAGCAGCTGTGTTCTTCCATCCACTTCTAAAACAAAAACCCCAAAATAAACACCCCCAAAACAACAAGATACCAGAACCAACCAACAACAACAACAACAAAAAAACCAAAAAAAAACAAACAAAAAAAACACCCTGAAACAAAAACAACACTCAAAACCCTTCCCACACCCCTTATTTTTTTCCTCTTAAAATATTTTGAGTTCTACTATTGGACTAGAAGTGTTGGAGTTTATTTAAGTTGCATGAAAGAGTAAACTTAGTCAAGTATAGAGATGCTAATTCATGCTTGTTAGTTAATCCTTACTGTCATGGAAAATAAAATACTAGTGACTCCATTCTTGCTGTTTGGTTAGTTTTGAAGAAAAATCTTAAAGAATATGTGCAGTTGTTACTCTTTATTAATATTCTAACTCTGTAGATGCTGGAACTAGTTTTTATGTTCCCAGAAACTCTCAGGACGCTGAAATTTATGAAATTAATAATATAGTGCCATTTATAACTACTCACAGCCCCACCTATCTCTGAGGCTATAAGCCCTGCCATTATAATTAGCCTGTGTCCTTGCTGATACCAGCATTGCTCTGTGAAGGGAGCAGCTCAGAGCCTGGCTGAGAAGCTGAGGCATAGCAGCTCTGGCACCATGAGATCACTGAGAACCAACATTATTCCTGTGCTGCTTTAACTGGTTCTGGAGATGACTTGTTTAGGGCTCCTTGGACTGACCTGCAGGGATATTCCTTACCTATTACTGCTTAGGACTTGTTGGCTCTGGTGTACGACCAAAGCTAGATATTTGTGCTCTTCTGTTTCTCATATTTGAAGCCATACTCACTAGTCATCTGTCTCCCTGGTGTAGACAGCTATTACATTTCCCTTGTGTACCTTACTACAAAGGCCTGATCTTTACTGACCTTCTTTCTCAATAAATGAATTTACTTGGTGAGACAAAAAGCAGCAGTTTACTTGTGCTGTCTGGCAGAAGACTAGAGACTAGTCAAGACGAGTCATGTTGCAATGAGAATTTCTAGTACAAGCTGAAATGGTTACCCCAAACACATCAGAGTAAAGAAAGTAATGTTTCTGTAAAAATTAAAAAGCTTGGCTGTTCATTTAAAGCCAAAACATCCCACCCTCTCAACAACTACACACCACCCACCCACCCACTCACTGTGCAACTGGCTGATTCACAGGCAGCAGTGGTACTGAAGCCCCAAGCCTGTTTTGGGTGGTGGTGTTGTGTGCTTTTTTTGTGGTTTGTGGTGATTTGGTGTGTGGGTGTGTTTTGGGTTGGCTTGGGATTTTTTTTGTCAATAGCCACAGTTAGTAGTAGAACAAGAAAGATCAGGCTCTGGTGGTGGAACATTCCGTTCCTGAGCAGGTTTTGTAGCTGGTCTTGATGCTCGTTAACACTTTCCTATCTCACTTATTCATCTTGCAATTGCTGTAACACAGCAGCAATATTCAAGTTAGGGTAACCAAAATACTCTGTAAATACAACCCTTCCTTCCCTTACTCTTATGGTTACTTAAGTTGAGAATTTGGGAGATGAAAAAAAATCTGAGCAGGGGATATAATTCCCCTAGTAATCTCTTCTAAACCCGTTTCTTGACTCACTCAGCACACTTCCTTCTTCCCCAAAGGAAAAAAACCATTCCTGTCACGTGGGCTAACGAATTGTGAACAGGGCACCCACACACCACAACCCCCCTTGCACAGGGTCACCCGTGGACACTGCTCCTAGCATGGGTGTTCAGGCTTGCCCTACAGGAGCAAGGATTTTTCATCTCCCCTAGGAAACTGGCTTGTTTCAAATGAGAGAAGAAAGAAGCACTGGTACTGTAAAAGGAGGTCTTTTAAGGAGGAGGCTGAGCTAATATGACATTGATATTCTAAATAGAGAAGGGGGGAAAAAAAATTGTAACTTTCTGAAAAAGATTTTCTGCCAAAAGTATATGCAGTTCTATAGGACTGCACAGAGTGGTAGTTCTTTGTGTACTTCTCATGTGACATATTGGAAGAAACCATTTTTTCACTTGTTACTTGAGTTTTTTCTCAACTTATAGTATATGAGCATGCCCTACTTTTTGCCTAATAGTGTTCATTTGAATGCTTACTCGAAAATGAGTTGTTAGTTTGGTTTAAAATGTTTCATGCATGACTCTCCTAATGGCACAAGAAAATTACAAGCAAGCAAGAACTTTATGCATGCATGCGTCACCAGAAGTATGTGAGGAGTGACTCATGAGTACAAGTGAATTTAGCTGTAGTGGTTGAAATGATTGCCACTCACAGCTATCTGCCTGCTCCCTTAGTGTGTGAACCACACCCTTTACAAAAATAGATGTATGAGATGCAAATTACTCCCTGTTCATGACACCTCATACTCTTTAATATTAGCATAAATTCGATTAATGATGCTTTCCCTTGACACGCCACTCTTCAGATGCCTAAGTGACTATACAGTCTGTTGGCTATTCCTGCCATTGCAGGTAGTCATGCTCTTCCAGATGGAAGAAGCCAAGGGAGTGGAGGCACCCAGGTCTGCTTGTGGTCATGAGTCAACCCTGAGCTTCACTACAAAATTTCTGCATCTTATTTTTACAGCTTTTTTGAGGTGAAAAACTGTTTATAATGACTGTAGCTTCAGGGTTGAAAGTATTTTGTTTTCCTGTAGGTGTAGTCAGGTTTTTTCTATCATGTAAGAACAATATGAAGAAACTAATTATTTTTAAATTTCTTACTAGCCCAGCAGAAGAGCTATATTTTGGGTCCAAAGAAACCGGAGAGAAGAAATGTTTGATAGTTCTCACAAATGTCACTAAAAACATAGTAGCTTTTAAGGTAAGTGTTTTACGTGTGGCCTGATTTACTCTACTAAAGGTGTAACTTTTTCTTGTTTTGGCTAAGGGGTAAGAAATACTATTCCCCTCCCCTTTTCAGTCTATATTTTTTATTGTTCTGATGTTTGAAGCCAATGAAAGAAATTTTCTGGCTGAATTTATGCCTGTTACTACCCTATAGGAGATAGTGCTCAGAAGTCCTATATTACTATTGACTATTGAAGAGCTATGGTGATAGTTAGCTCTTTAGCAAGTGTCTAATACTACCTGAAAAGGAAAGGCCTGAGCATTGAAGAGTCATTTTCTTAGAGTTTTTTGCTTTTTTAAATCTTGACTGGGAACAAGTTAGTAGTGTTTCAAAATGATACACCTCTGTCTGCAAATATCACCATCAAATGAGTCAATGCAGCTACGTTTATTGCAGAAATACTGAATGGACTTGCATGCTGATTTGGCTTTCCACCACATCCTTTGTGTTCTCTGCACATAGAAATAACTAATGTTTCAGTGCTTTCATGTTAAAATCTTAACAGGTATTCCATTTGATCTTCTTGGCTATTTTTAAAGATATATTTATATAAAAAATATAAAAGAGAGTAAACCAGCATATACTATAAAAGGAAGGATGAAAATAGTTGAGAGATAAGAAAAAATAAAGTATTTTAAAGACTCTATGTATTACCATGTCTTAGTATTTAAGCTTTTGGAGACTTTAGTTATTACAGAATGCGGGAGGTTATGAGACAGTTGTAATTTGTGCATGCATTTAATATTATGTTTGCTTGCTGTTTCTTGTGTATAGGTGAGAACAACTGCTCCTGAAAAATACAGAGTTAAGCCCAGTAACAGCAGCTGTGAACCTGGCACATCACTAGATATAATAGTGTCTCTTCATGGTGGTAGGTAACATCTTATAATACCATTTTTAAGTCTGGACAAGTTGTATTAACAGGCTGGTGCTGTGGATGTACAAAATAACCTTTGTGTTTGCTGGGGTGTAAAACTGACTGACACTCACGTTTACTTGACTGAAGTATGGGAATGTTACCATTTGTAAAAAAACCCACAGATGTCAGACAACATTTCAGTAACTGCCCATACTGATTTACTACTCTACTTAGGCATAAGCAGCTGTTATCTGCAGCCTGTTCTGTTCCTTGTCTTACAAAGAAACAAAATCACAGTGGCAGCTCTTTCACTTGTGCTCTATTACGCTGGGAGTTTATCTGTGGTAAATCAGCTTCCTAAATTGATGCAAGGACAGGTGACTTGGCTGGAGAATGCATTCTTTACAAAGTTCTGGATTGTTGTTTAATTGTTCAGATGAAACTGTAGAATTTTGGGCAAAGTGTAATCAAAATCACTGAGCTTAAAGAATGATTTAATTATTTTTATTTCTAGTAAGTCTATGTCTGATGTCCTGCAATAAACAAGTTGTTACTTTATAAGGCTTTTGCTGAGAAGTGCTTCTGTGTGCTTTGCAATGTTGTCATTTTATCTAAGCACGCTTTTGCTTTTTTTGTTCCTTTGAGGGCAGGTTTTGCAGCTTCTCTGCAGGACCGTTTCCTTATAATGGCAGCAGAAATGGAACAGTCTTCTGGAGCAGGTGTGCCAGAACTGACTCAGTTTTGGAAGGAAGTCCCAAGAACCAAAGTGATGGAACATAGGTGAGTATATGGCCCTCTGTTGAGAGGGATTTTTTTTTAACCAGTGTCATCTAGCTGATTCATAGCACTTGTCTATCACAATCAGTGAAAGATTCTCCAAAACACAGTTGTGTGCTTACTAACTGAAGTACATTGCTGAGGCTTCTGCTCTGTTTTAACTGATTGGAAGTGGTTTTAATGCATAAAATGTAATGTTATTCTGCACACGCTCTTTTTATTGTTGTTCTTGTGCTGATGAAAAGTGGGAAAAATGTGAATGGATGTGACACATGGACAGGAGAATTTTTTTTTTTTTGTAAGAACATGCTACTTGTGTTTTCTAGAAAGAAATAAGCAAGGAAAGAATACATCAGAAATGAAAATCTGTTTTCTAGACAGTATTAACAAATATTCCATTTCTGATGGGGAAAATCAGAGTTTTGTAGAAAATTGCTGTAAAACCTATCACATGCTTCTATGTGTGTTTTCCATATCCAATGGTGGAACAATGCTACTAGGAAAATACATTTCCCCATACACTTTTACATATACCTGTTACTCTGCTCTCTCATCTGTTCCCATCTAGCGAACACCCTACGTTTCTAGAAGTTCATTGTAGTTCTCTTTCAGCTAGAAGTTTGAGAGCCATGATATTGAGATGCTGTTTCATCTTTAAAAAAAAAAGTAATTTGTCTGTGTTTTTACTTTAGATGTTTCCTGAGTTTGGGGGGGTCTTGAGGGGCAGGTTTTGGGGCTGTCTTAACCCCCCCATGGCCAAATTTAACATGGAAATAGTATTTTTAAGACTTGATGCCTAAATCTTGTTTTATCTTTGCTTCAAATGCTGATCCCCTACTTCCCTATTAAACAAAATTTACATCATGTGAGTGACCTTAAGCTTCCTTGCATAAATAGTGCCATTTTGAAAATTAATCATCCAGAAGATATGAAAAGCATATATAATACCTGTTAGATTGACTGTTTACTATTAATTATCTAATGTTACATCTGATCTTTGGTGTGTATTTTTTCCCCTTTTGCAGGCTCAGATGTCACGTTGTAGAAAGTAGTAAGCCTTCTTCTTTGACATTGAAAGAGAACACATTTAGTAGTCCAGCAAAAACCAATGAAGATTTACATATACAGGTAATAGCATATTCCTTTGTGCTGAATATTGAACAAAATTATAAAACACAATACAAAAAGAATTACTAGTAAACCTTTGTGGTACTCATAAATTATACTATTCAACAGACTTAGCAACTGGAAGTAGCAAAATCACTGATAGTGATTTAATAATTTTGTTGAATGCTAATGGTTTAATAAAATACTAGTTGCAGTGCAGTTTGCGCATTGCTCTTGTATGTATTGCAGATCTGGGCAGATCTGAGCCTCACCAGTACCTTTTGCTTCATACTCTAAAGATGTCACCTGCTTGATATAGGCAGTGTATGGGGTATCTATAACTTAAGATTTGAAGCTGCTTTAGTAGAAAAATGTAACAACAGAAAAGGTGTCACTAAGAGAAGCGATTTGGGTATTTTGTCTTTTTTTTTTTTTCTGTCTTAATTTTTTTTTCCTGTGCTTATAATTGTTGGCTAAATAGCTCTACATTAACGAGTACTTTCATGTGCAGTGAATTGAATTTAATGAAACTATTTCTATTTTCAGCTAACTCATTTACTGCAGATTAATAAAAGACTTCAAGAGCAGATTGATCGCTGCCTCTGGTTCCAGCAGTTGTCGGTGGTTTTATCATTGCTGTCTGTTACTGTTGTTGCCTTCTGCTTCTACCTGGCGTACAGCCAGAGAAGCTGAAAAGAATTGCTCTGCACTGGATGTGCTGCCTGCCATGGCTGGGTAGAGTGGAAGAGATCGCAGTGCTGTGCTTGGATTCTGCAGCTGCCAAAATGAGGTTTGTGAGCCCACAACAATGAACGAAGATACAATTTGGGGGCATAAAAAAAAAAAGGAAAGAAATTAATGACCAGCAAAGGAAATTACTGAGAGTTGATGTGAAGAACAGGGCATGAGGAAGATGTTAGAACTAGGGCATATTTTACTGTACCACTCGATAAATACTACTGAACTGGAAGGAGGAAACCAAATACAACATAGTTTAAAGCTGTTTAGGGTTTTTTCCCTTTAGTCAACCACTTTAAATACAGTATTTAATTCCTTTTCAGCATAGTCATTCTTACATTCTGAATTACTCTCATAGAAGGTACAAGCAGTCAACTTAGTGTATTCCAAAGATTGACCTGTTTATTCAGGAAAATCGACAGAAATTTTATAGTACAGGTTGTTTTTTTTATGTAATCTTTGTACATGCACATACAAAGGAAGATATTTGCTATTGGTAATAAGTTTGGTAATTTAGGCTCATTACTTTCATGGGTTAACTTCTTTATTTGTGCTTTTTCTGAATGAAAGTTATTGTAAATATTTCCTACCAAATATACGCACAGCCATATTGTCCAGGAATATAACCCTTGTTCGATTCCAAAGATACTAGCAAAATAGTTACAATAAGACACTATTCCTGTTCTTACCTGTTTTGCATTGGTTTGACTTTTTTTGAAAGCCAACCCTTAGTCAAATTGTGGAAGGAGGGAGAGAATCGAGTTTTGATGACCCAACCTATTATCGGTTAATTAAAAGGCTAATAAATAGTCAGTGTAAGAACTTAGTGTGAGATGTGCAATATGCCTAAATTACTGGTGAATTTATGAAAAAAGCATCAAGTCAGGAAGACTAAATATTGTTGAAGGCAACATAAAACTGTTATCTGCCATTTCTCAGAAACTGTTGTAGAAATGGTGTACGAAGTTAGTGAGAAGTTATGCTAACAAGGATTCATTGTACTCTTTGCTGTAAATATGTATATTAAAATGATAAACACTTAAAAGGAAACTGATGGTATATTTCATACATTTAAAATTTTCACTCTTAACGAGTTCTAAAAATTTAAAATAATTTACTAGAATTAATTTTTGTCACAAATTGGTCTTTGTAACAGATCATTTAGTTTTGTCTGCCGACTTCAGTAGATGAGATTTTTTAATTTTTCACTAATCTCATTTCTGTTTGCTTTGCTTCTCAGTGTTTGGTTTTCTTAATGAGTTGGCAACTTAACATTGTTTACTGCTTACTGTGAAGCTATTCTTTAGGTTATTTTCATGTGTATGCAGTTCAAATGCTTAGCTTCCAACAAACTGGGTTGTTGTCTTGTTGAGAAAGGTAACGAAGTAATTTGTAACCCTAATCTAATAATAACCATGCTATTAAAATGCCTATTCCTTAATTTGAGTGTTTTGAATAGCACTTTACTGTAAAATTGCAAGAAATATATTCTTAGAGTCTTTGCCAATATGAATATTTTTGTTTTGGTGCTTTCGTATATTCAGTATTTTATTACTATGTTGGCTTTTTTTTGTATGATGAATCAGATGAACATCTTTTCTATTTTAATATGTTTTAGAAAAATACAGTTACAAAATAAATATGAGAAAATATGTAGTTTTGAATGTTGAGTCTTTTAAAAATAGCTTAATGTCATGAAGTTTTGGTGCTCTTATTAGTCTGCCAGTACTTAATATGAAGGAGGAGTCAGTATGGTAATGACTCATAGTCTGTTGTAGAATAGAAGTTGTGGTGCTACTTGTCAGACAAATGTAAAATAGGTGGTCATGAATTCTTACAGTGGCCAACATAATAAATAACACAGGACATGATATTGGCAGGCAGAGACTGCCACAGCACAAATAATGCAAATCCACACAATACAAATATCTATGTATCTTAGTAAAACTGTTATTTAAACCTCACACAGTAAATGGAAAAAAAATATGTATATAAGGAAAGAAAATAGAAATTGACAACAGTTTTTGTATTTTTCTTCTGTGAGAACTTCTTTGTTTCTAACATCACAAAACATGGTGATCTATCATTTCAGTGTTTTCCCAGTTTTCGGTTAGTAGTTTCAGATTTTGTTTGCCAACCCTTGGAAACAAATTTCAGCCACTTCATTTTGGAAGGTTTTGTCTCTAACGCACACTGAAGTTACAGAGTGTACAGCTTTAACATCATTTGTTATGATATCCAAAATTGAGAAAATTAGCAAAAGATTGGTTTTGATATTTTTTTCACGGTACATGAAACTCGGTTGATAAAGCTGGAGCGTTTTAGAACTTAGACAAAGTAATTGCATGAAAGACCAAGATAGAATATTTATTTTTCCTTCCTTCATTGTAGATTAGCAGTTAATCTTGAGTTTTACAGACAATTAAGAGACAGCAATAGCTCAAATCCTAAAAATTAGCAGTGTTTCAAAAGAGCACACACTCTTTTCCTAGCAAGCAATTTTTGTGCCTTATTCTTAGGTTCACTTTTTTAGTTTATTAAGTAAAATATTAGATTTAAGACTTCATATATAGTGCTTTGTTCATCATCTCTACTTCCAGAGTCCTACTGTGGGAAAGTTCTGAACTGTAGGAGCAGGTGGCGTTCCAGTGACACCATTCACATTGGCACTGATATTATTAATCCTGAAATTATTTACAGTGGTTTAATGTTATGTTGTCTTTCAATGATCAAAAAGGTATCAAAAGTCTTGTTTTACGTGGGAAGTATATATTTTTTTAATAATGGAAACAGGAATTTTTCTATAAGGACTTATCTTAATTGGATGCAAAACCTAAATATCTCAAGGAAATAACACATTGCAGTAGGCTTATTTAGGAAAATAAAATCTTTGTTTTATTACTTTAACAGCAAATAGTTCTCCCTCTTCTTTAGACGAGCATAATATATTTCAGACATGAGAGAAGGGGCAGCAGGGCCGGGAAGAGAGAAGTTTTAAATTGCCTTTCTATTCATCAGTGCTTCCCTACCATAACTGACTTGTCTCTAATGTCTGTGTTCAAGTTCTAGCAAACATTTGTCTTTGCTTCCAGATGTTAGTGTATATGGCTTTTGTCAACTCTATGGGGTTTGGCAGAGAACACTTTAAATCACTGCACTGTCTTGGGGATCCTTGTACTTTCTGTGTATCCTGACTGGCAGCATAAAGGTATAAATGCTGCTCTGTTAATAAAGGACTGTGATCGTTCTTTCTTTTTCTGCAGCTTTCTTGTGAAATTGGATGTTCTGTCAGAAAAATATAAAAATTTGAAAACTGACCAAACAACACGCTTCTACAAAATGCATCACAGGTGGCTGTAAGAATTCTCTGGTTTATATCTTGTAGTAGTTCCATAAGATGTTGTATCTGACACCAAGGTGTCTGTATTTTACACCATATGTATTAGTTTAGGAAGGGCTAATTGGTTCTAATTAGCCAAGAAGAACAGGTTAAGTGCTCTTTTCTGAAGTTAAAGAAGACATCTTAGGTCAGTTTCTGAAGTTGAAGTTCCCTAGAAGATGGCTCACAGAGGAATAACTGACTCCGTGTTACGGCAGTGGCTACGTTTCCATTACATGTTTACACAGGCAAGTGATTATAAGTTAATGATTCAAATTAACAATGCCTTTCAGTATGCCTGTTCCCTGGGCACACCAGCATCAGCAGCTTCTGGCACTGTTTTCTGCAGCTGGGAGAAGCATAACTTCCCATTTTCAGTTTTCTCAATCATTTCAGTCCCACTTTTGAATTCAAACCTCACTAGTCTTGCTCTTTCCACTTTTATAATGAATGCCTACAGCAGTGCAGAGGCACAACCTGAAAAATAAAGTGCACAAAATCCACCCCTCCAGAAGCATGTCAGAGGGGGGAGGATTTACCTTCTTTGTAGAGGAGGCAGGTGAAGTTCCACATGCTGCTTTTGGCTGAGACTGATTTATGGTAGTTTCCTAACACATCTGTGCAATTGCTGCTTTGGTACTTCTGAGCAGAAGTACTGAAATCCCTGAGTTGTATGAGCAAAGAGAGTAAGCACCTTGCTAGACTTTTTACCACTAGATACCTCAGCTCCTGGTTTACTTCATTTGTAAGACTGGTGCATCAGCTTACTTACTTGGCATGCTCTAAACCACTTCTGTTTTCCTAAAAACTGAAAGAAGCACTGGGCTAACAGCTGAGGAGTGCTCAATTATTGCTGTATGATTGCAGCTAACAGCACTTGGTTTTTAGATTGCAGTCGGCAATTCATTCTTGTGATATTGCTGAAGTTAATAAGTCCACACACAAAGCTGCTTAGGAGAAAAAAACCCACCTGTTTATCAGTTGCCAGTCAGTGCTGTCTTCACCATAGTCCAAGGAACAGCAGTAGCCCACCCAAAAGACAGCTCTGATTCTCCTCACATCAACCAGTTCAGGGTCTCTTGATCTGTCAGTAATGCTTTCTTTGTTCTATTTTGGCTTAATACCCCTTGTGCTATGTTAGCACATGAGTATGAAAAAAATGCAAGTTTATTTTAATCTTTCATTTTCTTTGGTCAGCAGTAGAATGTATTCCTTATTTTATTGTCACTTGGTGGTCTTTTATAAAAGATTTTGGAGGTCTTTCTTCCTGTTAAAAAGAACTTAGAAGGATGGCAAGTTACATGTTTTGTTTGTCTTGATTAGCCTATGGTGGTTCAGATGGCAAGAAGCAGTGATCTCCTTGAAAGTATTAAAGGATCCTCTTTTTTCATTTTTCTAAAACATTAAGTAACTGTCGTTACCGACACCCGAACCCC